GCCATCATGTTGTATGTCTTAAGCTTATACAGTAATGTGTGTTAATTATTTCTCAATAAAACTGGGGGGAAACACCTCCTAAAACAAAGTTACTTAAGTTTCTTCTATCTTCATAGCTTTAGTTTCTTTTCATTCATTCAAGTATTTTTTGTTGTTGTTTGTTTTATTTATTTCTAGGAGAGAGAGAGAGAGACAGCGTGAACAGGGGAGGGTCAGAGAGATAGGGAGTCACAGACTGAAACAGGCTCCAGGCTCTGAGCTGGCAGTCAGCACAGAGCCCAATGCAGGGCTCGAACCCATGAACCGCGAGATCATGACCTAAGCGAAAGGCGGACGCCCAACCAACTAAGCCACCCAGGCGCTCCTCATTCAAGTATTTATTAAGCATCTATTATATGCCAGTCACTTTTTATTTAGTTAAAATTAAAAAAAATTATTTACTTTTGAGAGAGAGAGAGAGAGAGACAGACAGACAGAGCATGAGCAGGAGAGGGGCAGAGAGAGTGGATGACACAGAATCTGAAGCAGGCTTCAAGCTCTGAGCGGTCAATACAGAGCCCAATGCGGGGCTTGAACTCACGAACTGCGAGATCATGACCCAAGCTGAAGCCCGATGCGGGGCTTGAACTCACGAACTGCGAGATCATGACCCAAGCTGAAGTCAGATGCTTAACCGACTGAGCCACCCAGGTGCCCCATATGCCAGCCACTTAAAATAAAATAAGGTATAGTGGCGCCTGCGTGGCTCAGTTGGTTAAGTGTCCGATTTCGGCTCAGGTCATGATCTCACTGTTCATGGGTTCAAGCCCTGCGTTGGGCTCTGTGTGGACAGCTAGCTCAGAGCCTAAAGCCTGTTTCAGATTCTGTATCTCCCTCTCTCTCTGACCCTCCCCTGTTCATGTCTCTCTCTCTCTCTCTCTCTCAGAAATAAATAAAAAACATAAAATTTTTTTTAAAAAATGAGGTATAATTGACACATAATGTTATATTAATTTCAGGTGCATAACATAATGATCCAGCATTGATATTTATTGCTAAATAATCAGTATAGCAGGTCTAGTTAACATTAAAAAATTTTTTAAAAGTTTATTCATTTTATTTTTTGGGAGAGAGACAGGGAACATGAGCAGGGAAGGGGCAGAGAGAGAGGGAGAGACAGGATTCTGAGCAGTCTCTGCGCTGTCAGTGTGGGGCCTGACGCGAGACTCCATCTCACCCCCATGAGCTCATGACCTGAGCCGAAACCAAGAGTTGTATGCCATCCAGGTGCCCCTAGATAACAGTTGTTACCATACCTAGTCACAAATATTTTTTTCCCTGTGAGAAGAACTTTTAAGATGTACTCTTAGAACTTTCAAATTCATAGCATCAAATTTGAGTTACAGATTCACAATGCTTTTTCTTTAAGATGTAAGTTGTATTGAATATATTGACTAAGACTAAGCCAGAGATGAACTCACTGACTTTAGGATAAAAAACTTGTCACAGTAAGTCTAGAAATACTGGAATTTAAATAAAATTTTGAAAAATAAAATGAAAAGCTTTGGAGAATTCTGGTGCTTTTTTTTTCTTTCCTAGTTTTAATTTAAATTCTAGTTAGTTAACATGCAGTGTAATACTCACTTCAGGTGTAGAATTTAGTGATTCAACACCTCCATGCAACACCCAGTGCCCATCACAAGTGCCCTCCTGAATACCCATCACTCATCACCCATCTAGTCCATTCCCCTGCCCACCTCCCCTTCAGTAACCATGGGTTTGTTCTTTTTGTTGTTGTTGTTTTTAAAGTTTATTTGTTTTAGAGAGAGAGGCCGAAAGAGAGCAAGAGCAGGGGAAAGGGCACAGAGACAGGGAGAGAATCCCAAGCAGGCTCTGCACTGTCAGTGTCACTGAGATCATGACCTGAGCCTAAATCAAGAGTTGGATGCTCTCAACCTAGTAAGACACCCAGGCACCCCCATCAGTTTGTTCTTTAGAGTTAAGAGTCTGTTTCTTGGTTTGCTTCTCTCTCTGGTTTTCTTCTTCTTCTTTTTTCTTTTTTTTAAATATTTTTATTTATTTCTAGGAGAGAGAGACAGCGTGAGCAGGGGAGGGTCAGAGAGAGAGAGGGAGACACAGACTGAAACAGGCTCCAGGCTCTGAGCTGGCTGTCAGCACAGAGCCCGATGCGGGGCTCGAACCCACGAACCACGAGATCATGAACTAAGAGAAAGTCGGACGCTTAACCGACTAAGCTACCCAGGCGCCCCTGGTTTTCTTCTTCCTAGAGAATCCTAGTGGTTTTTTGTTTGTTTGTTTGTTTTTGCTTTGTTTTGTTTTGAGAGAAGCCTACCTATATATATGTTTATTTTAAAATAATGTTTTAATGTTTATTTTAGACACACACACACACAAACACACACACACACACACACACACACACACAGGTCATGATCTCATGTTTCGTGAGTTTGAGCCTCACATCAGGCTCTGTGCTGGCAGTGCGGAGCCTGCTTGGGATTTTCTCTCTTCACCCTCTCTCTCTGCCCCTCCCTGCTCGTGTGCTCTGTCTCTCTCCTCTCTTAATAAATAAACTTTAAAAAAGCACAGTTCTTTATGAATCTGTTTTAAAGATTAAAACCTTTATGAATTTGTTTTAAAGATTTTGCCTTTGCTACTGGAAAAAGTCCAATAGAGTCCTCTTCTTTCTCAAAAGACACATGCTATTAAAGAGAGGCAAAGTGATTAACAAATGAATTTTACATAAACAAGAATTTGTTAAATGTAACAAACATTTAAACAGTTTAGACAAGTTTAGACATGAGAAATTTTAGTGACCTTATTTTTGTCTCTTATTTCTGTATCATTATACAAATAACTACAGCTATGTCACAAGAGGATTTTTTTGATTCTTCACTTATTTAATGAGTTAATTGTACTCTATACTGTATAATGTGAAGTATGTCACAAACACACTTCTTACTCATCAAACCATAAATTATTTAGTGAGTGCTCTTTCTGTAATTCCGTGAGAGTCAGCAGTGAGGAACTAGAGTGTATGGCTCTTTCCCAGTTCTTAAAAATTCAGAAGAATGCCTTGGAGAATTATATTGTCACTTAATTTTACCTTTCAGAGTGGTTAGTATCTACACAAACACATTTCTATGATATAGTACAAAACCACTATTCATTAAAATTTAATTGTAGTTGGTTTTGCCTTTAAAAGCTCTTTGTGAAAATTTTATTACTTTGATAAACCTGAAAATTTCCTAAAATGATGAAGTTTTGTCTTGTTTCCTTAAAAAGAATAGCTTTTGACCTACCATTAAAGCGAATATTAATTAATTTTTATTGGTATTATTGAACGCATTCTTGCATTCAGCATTGTTGCTGCTGCTATGAGAATAAAAAATATAACCCAACAAACATATACACAATATCCATATATTCTAGACTGGCACACTGCAAATACAGAGTTTACTCAGATAACAAGAGACAGAGTTAAGGAGTTGCAAAGCCAGTTGAGAAACAGGGAATACATATATTAGGCACTGAAATGATGTATTATGATCAACGTTATAGGTAAAATAAGTTTTACTGTTTATATGTCCAACAGCAACTTATGAAACAATAGTTTAGCAATTCTTTTAAGTCTGTGTGCTGTATTCTATGTTAATTGGTTTATGACGCTAGAAATTCTTTTTTTATTCATGACTTATTTAAACAGTTGATTGTTAGCAAAGGAACTGCGTATTTTAATTATACTTCAGATGCCTCTGTCAGTGGGATTCTTAGGATGCTTATGAGAGGTTTATAGAATTAAACTACATCACCTTATGTTCTTCGACGTCCGTGCATCGGTAACTAAGAGAAATAAATTCTGCATGGAGGATATTATGCTTTTATCCAATTTACAATTTTTATTTTATGTATAACTTCTAGGCAGCGTGGTTTCCGAAATCTGACTGCTGTATCATTTAAAAAGTTTTCTTTCCTTTTGTCTCCTGAAGAATAAAGCAAGCCTCACGTTTGTGAACACAGGGCCTCTGTGATATTGTTCTTAATGACTTAGAAAACCACTGATTGATCGCCTTCTCAGCCAGTGTTGGTCTTCAGTGTTGAACCACATGTATTCTTAGGATTATTAAGCATTTTTTCTATTGGATAAAACTGACCAAATATACATTTTGTGCTTATGATATAAAGACATGATTTAAATTAATTCCAACAGCAGAGACTCCTGAAATGTAGAATAGTCTACTACTGAATTTAAATAATCTCTCCATGCTTGTCATTTTACATGGATAGTATCATAAAACAAGTAATGACAGATTAAGACCTGCCTAGCAGAGGGAAAACTAAATTACACGACTTTTATTAAGGCGTAAATAAACCTATTAACCATTATCTGGAATACCAATTAGTAGACAGTGCACTGACAATTTTATTTATCAACATTAAACACAATTATTAATTACAGACCTGATGAATCCAGCAGTAAGCAGGCCATGTTGGATATGCTGGGACCTTAAGTCCATTATGTGAGAGGGATGATTACCGAAATCCTGTGGGGAAATAAGTAATTGTTGTTGTAAAATTTTAATTGCCTTGGAATAAGGCAAATTGTATTTTCTTGTCTGAGAATATAAATAGTATGACATTAAGGTAACAAGCTTCAGTAGTTGTAAATAGAAAATGAATTTATGTTAGGTTTTAAAATAAAGAAAAGAGTGGTGATGAATATTTAGTGTCATAGTGGTTTAGTGTAAATGATATAATGCAAATGCATGCAGATTTTCTTGAGCTAAATTGTTTAGTAGGTAAGCTATTTTTTGCATTTGTTTTTTTATAGTGAAAATTAATGTGGGAGGGGACTCTGAATGAATTACTACAGGTAAATGGGGATTGTATAATTGAGAAATATTTTAATTGTGTGGTGATTGGCAGAATTGTAAAATGAACAAGAGACAGTTCACATTTTCATTGTGTCTTTTTTCTCTTCTTTTCTCTTTTTTTTTAAGATCCAAATTCCAGAATTTGTGGACATTTACTCATAGGTGCAGCCAAAAATTCCTTTGCAAAACTCATGGATAAAATTAGTCTTGCCATGGAGAGTATACCGTTGCATAGTAGCAGGAGTATTACATATGTAGAAAAGGATTCTCTGGTTCAGAGGCTGGCTCGTGGACTTCATAAAGTAAATACACTGGCCCTGAAGTATGGTCTACGTGGTCATGTGCCCATTTTGGTATGTATGCAATTTCATTAGGTAGTGACGTTGGGACTTGTAAATTTAATTTTGAAGCACACTTATTTGTAGTTTAAATTAGTTGTGCATGACTGTATCTAGATATCCTTTAGATTTCATGTAATCTTGTTTATTTGTGAAAGAGAGAGAGACAGAGAGACAGAGAGAGAGGGAGAGACAGAGAGAGCATGCATGAGCAGCAGGAGCGGCAGAGAGAGAGGAGAGGGAGAATCTGTGCTGTTGGTGCAGAGCCTAACATGGGGCTTGATCCCACACACTGTGAGATCATGACCTGAGCTGAAATCAAGAGTCGGATGTTTAACCGACTGAGTCACTAAGGTGCCCCAGACCTCATGTAGTCTTGTAATGCGATACATAATAGGACTTCCAAGTAAGTGTCTTAAATATTGAAATACAAAAGTTCTGGCATGAGTTGTGAATTTACTGTTTTCTGTAAGTGGACTGCAGCAGAATTCTATGAGACATAAACTAATGTCAGTTCCATTTCCTAGCCCTGTAAATTATTTATTTTCTTTGGTTGTTCATTTCATATAAGCCAAATTATTGGTCACATAAAAAATAAAGCATTCGCCTCTAAGTTTCCTTTACAGCTAGTAATGTTTTCTGTATAATCCAAGATACATTTAAGTTAGTAAAAGGGCCATTGCTCTTGATTTACTAGTCAACCTGTAGTTGCTGCCTGTAAAATTGTTCTTGATTAACAACAGAAAAGCACAGCATCATTACAGAAGCAGATATTTGGATTTACACAAAGATTGCACGCGGCAGAAGTGGAGCGCCGTTCACTGCGCTTGGAGGTCACAGAATTCAAACGAAATGTGAATGAAATGAAGAAGGAGCTTGACAAAGCACAGGGTCTCCAACTGCAATTAAATGAATTTAAGCAGTCGGTAAGTAGGTGTGATTTAAAATACTGTGGCTCTAGCGCACTCTCCGCTGATACATACACACTCCTGGGTGACCTATAGATCTGTAGATTTCTTTTAGCTTTTTGTTGTTTGTTTTCTCAAATAATTCAGAAAACTTCCCTTCTAACATTCCCCAACATCACTCCATTATATACAGTCAAAGTTGCTGGGAGACTAGATCTTAAATGTTCTCAGCACAGAAAGAAGTGATAATTATGTCCTATGATAGAGGTGTTAGCTAGTGCAATATTGGTCATCGTATTGTACTATGTAAGTGTATCAGATCAACAGGTTGTATACCTTACACAGTCTTATATCTCACTTATGTCTCAAAAGCCAGGAGTCAAGACCAGATGCTTAAGGGAATACTGATCCTGTGTCAGCAGAACTCACAGCCCTGTTAAAATGTAAACAGCGGCTGAAAGTGTAGAAAAAGTAAGTTATAGTTAGGAGAGATTAATTGCGTTAGCAAACAAACCCCCAAATGTATATTAAAGAATAATAAAATGCTTCTCCCAATTGAGGAGCCTTGTGTTTAGAACAGGGGGTGGGATGCTCTCTCTTTTTATATTAAATATTTTGAGTACATTAGATGATTTCATTTGAAATCAAATTGCTTTTCCAAAGAAGTGTTCAATCTAACTTCCATCAGACTCATGTATTATTTAAGAAAGCAGAAGATAGCTGGGAAAAGAAAGCCTAGGTACCAAATAGCATTAAATCAAGATCAAAATATGTTAAATATATGATGCACAGTAACATGGAGATACACACATACTCTTTTTGCCGCCCAGGTTTATTAGTTAACACTGCTGTTCTTAATGTGGATATAGGAATATAGGGTTAAGAGATTACCCTGCAACTTCAAAATTGTATCCAACTGATGACAACTAATATAAATATGAATACAAAATTTGTTTCCTAAGTCTAGCAGCAAGCTACTTTTAGTACCCTCTTCTTTGGGGAAACTTTGCAAGTTCAATTTCGATTTAAATGGCAAATTTGGAATGTGCAGACAGGAAGATAGCAGTTTAGTTACTAATCCTATGATAATGTAAATTGCTAATGTTAATTATTATTTCAAATAGCTATGCCTTCAAAGGGCAAAAAGTTCCTATAAATTTGTCAAGTAATCATGAATTACTGTTCTGATTGAAGATAAGTAATAGTTTTCTTATCAGTGAATGTCTAAAGACACCCATTTCCCCTCACTTTCTTAGTTTTTTTGTTCAGAGAAGGTAAAATTTTAGAGCTGCCTCAACATTTTTTTATTATAAAAATAATACCTGATAGCCATATATAAATATACAAAAAAGTTTAAAGGAGAAAGTTCAGATCACTGTAATCATACTGCCCATAACCAATTACTACTGAATTGTGGATGAGTTTTGTCCCTACATTTTTTGGTGTGTTTTTTTCTGTGTAAATGCATGCTTTTATGCACAGTTGTAGTTTAGAATGATTTTTCACGTACAATTCGCAAAAACATATATACAAACTTTAATATTCACTTATAGTACTATAAGCATTTCCTCCTGTGTGACTTATTAAGTTCATTTTAGATTAAACAAATAGGTTATAATATAATTATATAATTTATAATTATAATATAACTTATAATTATAAATGATAGGTTTTTGATTTTACTAATTCCATCATATGGATGTATCAAAATTTATTGGACTATTCTTTTATTAATAGATGCTTCACTTTTTCCAATTTTTTGCCATTATACTTAAATCATATAGTGCTGTTTGTTTATTTTGAGAGAGAGAGAGCAAGCGGGAGATGGACAGAGAGAGAGAGAGAGAGAGAGAATCTCAAGCAGGCTCCACGTGGTCAGTGCAGAGCCTGATGTGGAGCTCCATCTCAATCCTGCGATTATGACTTGAACTGAGATCAGAGTTGGGCACTTAACCAGCTGAGCCACCAAGGTGCCCCAACAGCTGTTTATACTTTTAAAAGCCAGTTCCTTTGGAGTGTGTCTCTGCCCCATTTTGATTTGCTGTTAATTGTGTATCCTAACTAAATCTGGGATGTTGAGGTAGTCTACCAAAATGGAAAGAAACAGCTGTTGATACAATTTGAGATTTAGAAGAAGCCAATTTTTTTTTAGATTTAGATAATAGTGACTTTCCTGAAAATTGGAAGATTATATATGTTGCTTTCTAGAATATGTGTGAGGAATTGTAGGTATTCTATACAATATGATTTCCTAGTCCTTAGCTAAGTATCAGTGAAGGAAGTCAACATCTTATTTTTGATTAGTTTTGAAGTAGGCAGGACTCAATTTCTAGAATCCAGACAGAAGGTTAGAGTTTGAAGAAAAGTTGCTGGAAGGTGACAGAATCCTCTTGTAAGAACTTTGGTTGAATAAGTGGCTTGCAGCAAAAGCTAACGTGTTCCAGGAAATGTTTAGTGTGTATTACTTTCACTGAAGTGTAGAAATAAACATAGGATTAATTGAAGGAATAATTGAAGGAATGAGATATGTATCTTTATATTTGTTAATTTTTCTTTTAACATTTATTCATTTCTAAGAGACAGAGAGAGATAGAGTATGAGTTGAGGAGGGGCAGAGAGAGAGGGACACACAGAATCCAAAGCAGGTTCTAGGCTCTGAGCTGTCAGTGCAGAGCCCGCCATGGGGCTCGAACTCACAGAACCACAAGATCATGATCTGAGCTGAAGTTGGACACTTAACTGACTGAGCCACCCAGATGCCCTGAGTACCTTTATATTTGGACATACAGTTGTAAAGTGTAACATATAAAATGATGATTTCTAACATTTAATAACCATATTGCCCATGTATAAGGCATTGACCCTAAGCACTTCAAGGAGTTAATTCATTTAGTCCTCTTATATCAGTAATAGTTTCAAATTATTATTATCTTTATTTTACAAATGAGGGATATGGGACACAGAGCAGCTGAATAACTTGCCCAAAGTCAGATAGTAAGTGGAAATGACAGCATTTGAACCTGAGTCGTCTGGCTCCAAAACCCATGCTTTTGACTACTTCACTCCAGTGGTTAATGTTTATATCTAGCTGTGTGAGTAAAGGATTGTTTCATTAAAAACAGAATAGATGGGAAATGGTGCTCTTTTCCTCTAGAAAATGGAGAGCATTTGCTTGCAATCATCATCTTTCATTGATTTCAAGCAAAATATTTTCAGGAGGAAAATAAAATTGCTTCCTTAGAATTGGTCTAGCATTGTAATATAAAGGAAAGCATACTGCCTGCCCAGCTATTCAGTACTCTGACGGCTTCAGCACCATGTTCATCTGTTGATCTACTGACCGTTGTTCTTTAACAGCAAACCCCCATGATTTTTTTTCTTTAGAAGTTCCTCACAACTGCTTTTACACACCACCTCTTATTCTCCATTGCTATACTTATTTGGTTCCATTTAGTTTCTGAAGAGAGAACAGAATTGAGCCAGTCTCTGGAAGGGATAGATGGACAAGAGAGAGGCTAACACTAGCTAGGTTTTAAGGTGAAGGAGAAATTTTGGAGGAGTGGAAAGAAGTCCTGGGAAATCATGGGGATCTTGATTTATGGAGGCCAAGTGACAGATGGTCACCTTGAGGAGTGGTACTTTAGAACAACATAACGAGTAAAAGGTAGAAGAAGTACAAACATATCTGTTCATGAGACCCAGAAGAATGCTGTGGCATCACGGACCAGAAGGATTTAAGAGGTTGAAATGAACAAGAGTGCCCAGAAGAGGTTGTTAGAGTTGATGTTCTGGAAGTGGAGGGTTTAGTTGTAATGGCACAATGTGGACAGTGAGGCAGTGGTTAGGAGGGAGCAAAAGATAGATGGTCCTCCAAATTTAAACACTGTAAAAGTTTCAGTGATATATTAGATATGCCACTACTAGATGGATCTTGGGAAATGAGGCAACGTTCCTGTGTGCCTGTGATCATTCCTATTCTCTTGTGTCAACTTAGGTAAGTCATTTGGCATCTCTTTTTATGCTATAATGTTGCTGCTGTTTATGCTATACTTTAGAATTTAATTAGTGTTGAGGAATGCATTATATATACCTTTGAAAAGGCAAGTAATAGTAAAAGACAGTTGCTTCTGGAAGGTTGCACGCATAGTACCTGGTGCCAGAGTAAAACTGAGTTAAAACTATATTATGCTATAGAAAGATCTGTGTAATAGACTTATCCTCAAACTTAGTTCTAGCAAAAATTCTTTTCTCTGCATGAGATGCATGCTTGCCATTATTGGCCCATGAGGAAACTATAACTAAGCACATTTGTCTCATGTGTCAGAAAACTCAGAGATAAAGTCCACATTCAACTGTAATAATTTATGTATTCCAGATGCCTAGATTCAATAGAATTTTTATTCTGCTCTTCCTCTCCCCCCATCCTAAATTCAAAAAGAATTTAAATCAATTTGCTTTCTATTTGTGGTTAATTATATTTGCCTCAAAACCTGTTCAACAATGGGAGAGTTATTGGTCTTAAATATCTATATACAGCGTGGTTAAGTGACTTGCACGGTCCTTTTTAGTTTTTCATATATATTTCACAGATTACCTACCTTTTGTGAAACACTCCCGTTCTTTGTTTGTCAAGATCAAGATGTCTCTTATTGTTTGATGTATTAAGTTTCATTTGCTTAATTGTTTTGAACAGGAGATAATACATGTGTGTCCTTCCCTGGATTCTCCACCCCTTAAGGGATGGCCCCTGGTTAGAACTGTCTAGGTGGATGGAGTGCTCTGTTCTATAAAGCAGTCATGATATTATAAAAACTGTGTTACATACTCTGGTGCATAGTTTTATTTGTAGATATTTATGTATGAATATTCTTTCATTCAACAAATATTTGCTGAGTGCCTACTGAGTGCCAGGTGCTTTTCTGTGTGTTATGTGAGCAAGCTGAATGAGGTCCCTACCCAGTGGAGCTCATGTCCTTAAATAAGTGGTTGATGTGGGATGTGGACAGGCAATAAAAAAAGTGAATAACTATATGAAGTGGATTTAGATAATGGTAGTGACTATATAGAAAATAAAGGAATATGGTATGGTAGTGTCATAGGAGTTGGGGAGGTATGGGCTGGTAAGGATTCTTGAAGGAGGGGATTTTTGACCAGAGAGACCTGAATAGTAACATACACTGAACACAGACTTTTGGGTAATCATTTCAAAGCATAGGAACTTGTGGGTCCTCTGGGTGGCTGATTTGCTTGTCTGACTTAGGTTCAGGTCATGATCTTGCGGTTTGTGAGTTCGAGCCCTGCACTGGGGTCTGTGCTACTAGCTCAGAGCCTGGAGCCTGCTTCAGATTCTGTGTCTCCCTCTCTCTCTGCCCTTCCCCCACTTGCTTTCGATCTGTCTGTCTCTCTCTCTTAAAAACAAATAAACATTAAAATAATAAGCATAGAAACTTGTTAAAGGCCTTAATTCTTACAATCATACTCTTTATAAAAAGTGCTTATATATGAAATGTAAACTGAGCATTATGGATTTATTTGAACCTGAAATAAGTTTCCTAAGATTTTATTTGACTGAAATTGACAACACTGGGGGTATAGCTGCTCTGCTTCTAAAACCAGAGAGATTTTTTTCTTTAATCTTGACTTAGGAAATCTAGAAAAACAACTTGTGCTTTTGTCATGCATCGGGCATTTTGAACTGTGTGCATTATACTCTCTATGTTAGCAAATATAGTTCTGAAAAGTGATACAACAGTGTAGTTAGCCTATAAATGATTTTATAACCTTTTCCAGAAATTGATCACCCACGAAAAGTTTGAAAGTGCGTGTGAAGAACTGAATAACGCATTACTTCGGGAACAACAGGCACAAATGCTACTGAATGAACAGGCACAGCAACTCCAGGAGTTGAATTATAGGCTTGAATTGCATTCCAGTGAGGAGGCTGACAAGAACCAAACTCTAGGAGAAGCTGTTAAGGTAGGAAGACATTGGTTTATTTCCTCTAGGTGTGGATCCTTGAGGGAATCATTTCTATCTCCTGAATAGGGAATAAAACCCATGATCTGAAATTCTATCCTGTAAAAGTCTGTAAGGACGGAACGAACTTGGTTCTGGAAGCTCAATGCCAAGCATGCGTTCACATCTGTGGAAAAAGTACAAGTAGTTGAAAACTACCTGCTAGGTGAAAACAAAGTAGGGATTTTCCCAGGAATAATTTTCTAATTTTTTTCATTTTGTCTTCCTTGTTTCTTCTCTTCATTTCTTTTCTTTGACTTGTTTTATGCCCGCTGGCCATTGAAACTCTACATATCTTCTGGGTTTTGAAAAGTTTTGTGTCTGGCTCTGTCTGATTCTTATCCAAGTGCATGTTTGGGGAGGAGGAAGGTTTGGTTAGGAAGAGTTGGTCACCCTGTCATATACCTGTGGCAAAGATGCTTAGAAGGGCAAAGAGAAGTTATTTAGAAATTTAGAAAATTTCATTAGTGGATTTAGGATTATGGTATCTTTTGGAAATGTTGGCTGTAAAGTATAATAGAATTCTAGTTTCTGATTATACTTGTGGAGTTTTCACTAGTGAAGTTATACACATTGGAATGAAAGAACTAATTTCAGGAAAACAAAAATTATAAATACAGCCCTCTATACTGGGTATCATTTCTAATGCAGTAAACAACTCAGAGTTGATTATAATTTATTATGCAAATAGTATATATTTATTCTAATAGTTCAACCCTAATACTGTAATAAAATAGTCAAAATTTATTGAGAGCTTCCTTTTGCCAGGTACAATGCAAAGTACTTTATAAGCTATTATCTCATATAATCCTCACACAAATCTATGGGGTTATTCCCATTTTGTAAATGAGAAAACCAAGATACAGAGAGGTTACACACATAACCACTGGTAAGTGACAGACCTAGGGAGTCAGTTTCACATCTGCCTTCTTAACCATCTCATTGCATTTAATATTGATGGACAGCACACATATGCCAGGCTCTGTGCTGCTGTCTCTACATGAATTATTTTGTTTCATTCTTAAATTACCTCCACAAAATAGGCACTATTATTATTTCTGTTTTTGAAGTTTTTATTTAAATTCCAGTTAGTTAACATACAGTGTAATATTAGTTTCATGTGTACGATACAGTGATTCAATACTTCTGTACATCACCCAGTGCTCATCACAATAAGTGTACTCCTTAACCCCGATAGCCTACTTTACCCATACTTCCTACGCCCTCTGGTAACCATCAGTTTGTTCTCTATAGTTAAGAGTCTGTTTCTTGGTTTGCCTCTCTCTCTTTTCTTCCCTTTGCTCATTTGTTTTGTTTCTTAAATACCACACAAGTGAAATGATATGGTATTTGCCTTTCTTGGAATGATTATTTTATTTAGCATAATATTCTCTAACTCCATCCACGTCATCCATATATATATATGGATATATATGTATATATATATATATATACATACACAACCATATATATCTATACACATACACACACATATATATCTATACACATACACATACATATATCACATATTATTTACCCATTCATCAGTCAGTGGGCACTTGGGCTGTTTACATAATTTGGCTATTGTAGATAATGCTGCTACAAACATCAAGGTGCATGTACCCCTTTGAATTTGTATTTTTGTATCCTTTGGAAAAATTCCTTGTAGTTTGATTGCTGGGTCATGTGGTAGTTCTATTTTTAACTTTTTGAGGACCCTCCATACTCTTTTCAAGAGTAGCTGCACCAGTTTGCATTCCCACCAACAGTACAAAAGGGGTCCCCTTTTGCCACATCCTTGCCAACACCTGTTGTATCTTGTGTTGTTGATTTTAGCCATTCTTACAGGTATGAAGTGATATCTCATTGTAGTTCTGATTTGTATTTCCCTAATGATCAGTGATGTGGAGTATCTTTTCATGTGTCTGTTGGCCATCTGGATGTCTTCTTTGGAAAAATGTCTATTCATGTCTTCTGCCCATTTTTAAATTGGATTATTCATTTTTTGGGTGTTGAGTTTTATAAGTTCCTCATATCTTTTGGATACTTACCCTTTATCAGATATGTCATTTGCAGATATCTTCTTCCATTCCAAAGATTGCCTTTTAGTTTTGTTGATTGTTTCCTGCACTGTGCAGAAGCTTTATTATTTTGTTGAAGTCCCAATAGTTTATTTTTGCTTGTGTTTCCCTTACTCAGGAGACATATCTAGAAAAAGTTGCTATAGCCAGTGTCAAAGAGGTTATTGACTGTGTTCCTCTCTAGGATTGTTATGGTTTCAAGCCACACATTTCATTCTTTAATCCATTTTGAATTTAATTTGGTGTTTGTGTATTCCCACTACCCCCCCCCCCAATTTCTATTTAAATTCTGGTTAGTTAACATACCATGCAATATTGATTTCAGGAGTATAATTCAGTGATTCATTGCTTACATACAACACCCAGTGCTCATAACAAGTGCCCTCCTTAAGACCCATCATCCATCTAGTCCATTTCCCACCTGCTTCCCTCCTTTCCTTCTCTACCTTTAAGAATCTCTTCTTTCTCAGAAGGGGAGTGATGGGCATGGAGGAGGGCATTTGTTGGGATGAACACTGGGTGTTATATGGAAGCCAACTTGACAATAAACTATTTAAGAAAAGAAAAGAATCTCTTCCCTCTCTCTTTCCCTACCTCCCATATGTTCATCAATTTTCGTTTATTTTTTTTATAAGAATGAAAAAACTTTTAATGTTTATTTATATGGAGAGAGAGAGTGAGAGGATGTGTGCATGTGTAAGCAGGGGAGGGGCAGAAAGAGAGGGAGAGAGACAACCTCAAGGAGGCTTTGCACTGTCAGCTCAGAGCCCCACTTGGGGCTTGATCTCACAAACCATGGGATCATGACATGAGCTGAAATCAAGTGTCTGATGCTCAAATGACTGAGCAACCCAAGCACCCTATCTGTTTGGTTTCCTAAATTCTACATGTGAGTGAGATCATATGCTATTTGTCTTTCTCTGAGCGACTAACTTCACCTAGTATAATACACTCTAGCTCCATGCATATCATTGCAAATGGCAAGATTTCATTCTTTTTGATGGTTCATTAATATTCCAGTGTGTGTGTGTGTGTGTGTGTATCATCTCTTCTTTATCCATTCATCACTTCTTAGATTTGGGATCTCTCCATTGTTTGGCTGTTGTTGGTAATGCTGCTGTTTATAAACATAGAGGTGCATGTACCCCTTTGAATCTATATTTTTGTATCTTTTCGGTAAATGCCTAGTAGTATAATTGGTGGATCATAGGGTAGTTCTATTTTTAAGTTTTTGAGGAACCTCCATACTGGTTGATCTTCAGAGTGGCTGTACCAGTTTTCTTCCCACCAACAGTATCAGAGGGTTTCTCTTTCTCTGAATCCTCTGCCAATACCTGTTGCTTCTTTTTTTAATGTTTATTTATTTTTGAGAAAGAGAGAGTGAGCACGGGAGGGGCAGAGAGAGAGAGACAGAGAATCCTAAGTGAGCCCTGCACTCTCAGTGCAGAGCCTGACATGAGGCTTCATTGCATGACTGTGAGATCATGATCTGGCCCCAAATCAAGTCAAGGCGCTTAAGTGACTGAGCCACCTAGGTGCCCCAACACCTGTTGTTTTTTGTGTTGTTAATTTTAGTCCCATTGTGTTTTGATGAAACTGAGAGAGTTCAGTTGACTTGCTTGGGGTCTTCTGGCCTGTAAATATAGAAACTGGGATTTAGTGTTTTAGAAAAAATTAGAAAATATTGAAATTTGAAAGAATAAAATACAGATGAAATTAAAGAAGGAAATATAGATGACCTCAGGGGAAAAAAAACCTCCCAGGATATATACTCCATGGAGTATATTTTTCCTGATACATATATTAAGTCAAACCATTTCAAATTGCTGTTTTTATAAGTCAAAAACAGACAAATGCCAGCAATTTTATATGGTTCAACCTAATATAGCTTTTCTTACATAAATAAGAATATACTTCTATACTGTTTTATAGCATATTATTTTATATGCTAGTAATAGTTGTATACATTCTTATTAACTGATATTACTCAGCTATATCAATTTTTTCCCTTTTGTAAGCACAATTAATAAATATTCAGTGTGTAAAAATAGGAAAATATAGATGAAGAAAAATAAAAATCAAAAGATTCCCAAGTCATATCAGCATATGTATCTACTCTCAAAATTTTGTTGTTTATTATGTCAGACCTTACATTTTGCAAATATAGAAATATAACCAAATATAGGTTAATAAAATACAGTCATACTTTTATATATACTTTTTAATTTTGTTTTTAAAAACATCATGTCAAGAATTTCTTTCCATGCCAATAAATATAGCAGTATCATCATCCTTAATGGATGATAGAATTCTTTGAATATTCAGAATTTTTAAACCTAGTTTCTTATTCCAGTTTCTCTCCTTCCCTTCTTCCCTCCCTCTCTTCTTTCCTTCCTTCTCTTCCTTCTTCTTCTCTTTCTTTCTCACTCTCTCTCTCTTCCTTCCTTCCTTCCTCTCTCTTTCTTTCTTTCTTTCTTTCTTTCTTTCTTTCTTTCTTTCTTTCTTCTTCTCTTTCTATTATAAGTAATTGTAAGATGAGCAACCATATGGCTAAATGTTTATACACATATTTGTAATTATTTCCTTATCATAAAATCCTAGATGAGGAATTACTAGGTGAAAATCCATATGAAATTTAAAGTGTAAATGTTATAAATTGTCCTAATGCAAATTTTTACCAGTTAACTTCTCTCCTAAAATGTATGGCAATTTCACTTAAAAAAAAGTTTATTTATTTATTTTGAGAGAGAGAGGGAGCAGCAGAGGGGCAGAGAGAGGGAGAAAGAATCCCAAGCAGGCTCTGCTATCAGCGCAGAGCCTGACACAGGCTCGATCTCATGAACCTGTCAGATCATGACCTCAGTGGGGATCAAGAGTCTG